ACCAACACTTAGAGAAGAGCAGTTCAAACCATTGTACAAAAATGAAGGGAAAGGTCCTGCCCTGGCCTCTGTTTATTGACCCAGCAAAAGCCCCAGAGCATTTCACTGAATTGACTTTTTCTGCTGCAAAAAGACACAGGGCTGAAGGGATGGGGACTGCAGAAGAGCTGTGGTCAGGAGAAGGCAGGGCTGTGGGAGAGGAGACCCCTATGCTTACCCCAAATCTGTCCCCTGCATGGGGGGCTGGAAACTACAGGGCCCCTCCACTGAGTCCACTAGCAGTCAAAACAAATAGCACAACAAGAAAAGCTGAGCATAAAAACCCTTTTTCTCAACATTTACCTAAACTTCTACCAAAAAAAAAAAAACAAAAAAAAAAACCAAACATTTCCACTATGACCAGATACTTCCAGACTGCCTGGCTTGAGAGGCTGTTTGCTTGTGCAGCCTTGGCAAATCCATGGGCATTTCAGCTGGAAGCAAAGCACCTGGCTGAAGGTCTCACCAGACCAGTGGTAGAGAGGAACCAAGATCCATTGGTTTCCACCACTTCCATCATCCACATCCCACAAGCATGATTTCGTACTCAGACTTCTGCCACGTCCTGAAGGAATGTCCTTTGTCCTTGTGAATGACCAACAAGCACACAGCCAGCAGGGACAGAAATGCAAAGCCCACCTTGAGCACTTCTGCCTGTCTGCCGGTGTCTGCCACTGTCTGGATTAAACTGAGAAGAACAGGGGCCTGTTCTGAACCTCCTGGCTTTCCAAATGACACCTCCATAGTCTCACTTCTCTGCAGCAATAGATGATGGCATCATCACCCGCTTCTAGTCAGTGCCAGCAGAAGGTAGTCCTAAAATAAAGGCCATCTCAGAACCTTTCCCCTCTGCCAAGAGAGACAGTCTCATCCTGATGACTGGGGTTTCTGAGCATGTATAACCCTTTCTAGGGTTGGTTCTCTTTTCTGGGTGGAAAAAAAGATTCTGAGGCAGCTCATTGTTAGCAACTTAAAAAACCACATTGTTACACGACAGACCAAAACCTATCTGCTAAACGAACCTAGGAAAAACCTACTAATTCCTGCATGAACCAGTGGTTGTTTCATAATTGGGCTGGTGGAAACACCTATAGCTCTCTGCCTTTCTCAGCTGACACATCACAATAAAACATGATATGAGGTGACTCATTACCATCGTGTTCTATCACATCCATCTCATAATGCAACCTCAGACTTGCATTACATGAGCTGAATAATATTTTCCTAAGAAATCATGATAGAAAAATCTGTGGTTCCAAGGGAAGTAATTTTACTGATTAAAGAAAATGCCATCACCAAACCTGAATCCTGCTGAGAAAAATAGGGGCTCAGGTGCACCCAAACACCTCCTCTCTGTACATCCCAGCAGGGCTGTCTGCTGGAGCAGAGGCACAGCAGGCAGGGGTCACCCATCACCTGAGTCTGTGTCTGCACTCAGGGCAAAAACATATTGAGCAAAATCACATTTACAGTGGAGCTGGATCTGACCCAGAACTGCAGAGCCAGACACACTCTGGGCTTTGACAGGTCCTGACACAACCTTTTGGAGGCTTAGCTCAATGAGCTGCTTTTGCCTTTGCACTTCAGCTATCACTGTTTGCTATCCTGTGCCCTCCCATCTCTCTGGATATTCCTATCACTGACATTTCCTCATAACTATTTCCCCAGACATTTAAGATTTCCCAGATGACGTGGATGACCCAAAAACCCAGTAAGTGAACACTTGCATGCAGCTGCCCCTGCTCAAAAGATGCTGATGGGAACAGGGAAACTCACAGCCCAGATTGCTACAGATGGGAAATATCTTCTGCGTACTGAACAAGGGGTTGGCAGTGGAAAAGCCATTGCACTGCTGCCGGCAGAAATCGGGGACACGTGGAGTGACACCGCCCAGGACTCCCAGCACTGCCTGCAGGGATGTGCCACTCCAGGAGCACGGTGCCTTCCCAGGGTTACTTGACCCATCTCCCTGGCTGGCAGGGATCCTTCAGGCAGTGCCAGCTTTCTGTGGGAGCAGGCAGCCCGGCGGTGGCCACAGACCCCCAGCCCCAGTGCTGCCAGCCAGGCAGAGGCACGGACAGAGAACGCTTGGAGGAGCAGGGAGTGGAGGCAGGAGCTGAGCCTGAGCCAGGAGGAGCACATCCCAAATGCTGCCAAGGAATGTCCCATGACGTGATTTCAGCTGAGGGGGAGGGAAGGTGTGTGGGACCACGCTCTGGAGATACCATCACTGCCATGAGCTCATGCGTTCACACCCCAGAGCCTGTGAGAGCCTGGTGAGACCGAGGGCAGCAGAGCCTGGCCCCACGTCTGCCCTTCCTGCATCCCAGGCTGTGCGTGGCCACTTCTTTTCCTGTCAGTGGAGTATTAGCAAGCTGGTAGCATGCTACTCATGCTTGTCCAGATGGTCAGCACAATTTATGGAGCTGAGCCACTGTTCAACCATCTTTCCCCATTCTGAGAGGGTGATCAAAGGTAGGGAAGATTTTCTGCAAGGAATGGCTCAATGTGCTGAACCTCTTGAGCCGTAAAAGAGTTAACCAAAGGCTGGCATGAGTGTAAACTCACGAGTGCCATGGAAAAGGTGAGTGAGAACGTGGTGAGAAGTGTCTCTTCCCATGCTGGGACGGAGGAGGGGAGGAAGCCAAAGGAAGATGTAGGAGAGAGTTTTAAAACACAGCACCTATCTCATTACCCAGTGGAGTCACATGAGGAATGCCTTGTCACAGGACAATGAATATTGAGCAGCTTTCTAGGTTAACAAGTCAATGGGGAAAAAAATACTGGGCAACAAAAAGGACATTTCTGGATCCAGGAGCCTGTGACCCCCCCAAAGTGCCACAGCTGGGAAAACACTTTGGTGAGGTCTAACAGGCTTAGCCTGTTCGTGTGCTTTCCCCTAGGCAGCCACCATTAGTCACTACCAAAGACAGGACAGTGGGCCAGGCAGCTGACAGGTCCTTTTCATGGGTACAAAGGGTGACTCACAGCCAGGGAAGGCTCCAGTGTGGTACCTCCTCCCCTCGTCCCGCAGCGGTGAAACCCGTGTTGTCACAGCTCCACCAGAATGGCAGGTTGCAGCTTGAGTCTGCTGCCAGGATCAAGGCAACCACCTGTGCTGAATGTCCCTAACAGGTACTGTGGGAACTGGTTTTTTAGTGCTCCAAAACCTCTCCTCAGTGCTCCTTCCCTTCCTTGGCTCTGAGTGTGCAGTCTGTACAGAGGCTGCAAACCATCTCCTGGTCTGACCTAGCAATATGCAATAGCACTGCTCATCTAAACACATTAAACTGTCCAAAAATGCCACACATCTGAACTCAAAGAATCAGGCAGAAACACATATTTTATAGGTTTAACCCCATTAAATTTAAGGGGTGTATGTGCATAAAAGCTTTGGTGTGATCCATGATTTTGCCATCTCAGTTTTCATCTCAAAAGCCTGGAAGTAAGTTTTTGTTTTTAAGTCAATTTTCCCAGCTGTAATCTCTAACATTGAAATAATGTAAAAAAAAAAAAAAAAAAAAAAAAAAAAAAGAAGACTTCATTAAATTTAAACCACCAGCAGCCTAAAGAACAAGCAAATTGCTCAGCATTGACTGAAGGATGAGCACTTCCCAAACAAGGGATGGAAAAAATGACATCTGCTGTTTCAGTAGAAAGGTGCATGTGTGTGCCAATGGAAACAGACACTGAAGAGATGCAATCAGACAGACAGCCAGTGCAGTGAGGTCCCATTCCCTCCTTGAAGACATCCTAGAAAATCCATGATCACTTCCAGGCAGATATTGAGGCGTTTCCCTGAAATCAAAGCATTCAGACTCATTGTCAGCACAAGTGCTTTAATCTCCTGTCACACTCACTTCTTACTTTTTGGCCTTCAGGAAGAGGCAGGATCCTGCCTGTCTCAAGTCTGGGACACTTGAAACTGTAGTTCAAGATTTGCCAGATGACATGGTCAGTCTCTTCTTGTCATGATGAGAGCAGAACCCACCCCATGCCTGGAAATGTCATCTCACGTCAGCTCAGCCACTTTGTAAATGCTTCACCCTGTCAGGAGTTAACAGCTGGTGGCTGAGAGGGCACCAACAAGGTACATAACAAATCTGACACTTCCTAGCACCCCACCTGATCCTTTTTGGCTAGAAGAGCTTGTGAAGAGACAAAGTGTGCTGACACAGGGCAGGTCAATCAATCATAGTTCCAAATATGAACATTTACTGAGATCTGTATGTGGCTCTAAGTGCCCTCTTAATTCTCATCAATGGGGAGGAAAGTTGCCTTGCCCAGAGTTTTTAGTGCAACAGGTAGCAGTGAGAAAAGTTTTGCAATGAGTGGTAAAAGCTCTCTTAAGACCAGCTTCCCCCTTGGAAAGAAAAGAATTAAATATAGCTAATCATGGGCAAAAATGTCACCCCAGCCTCCCGTCAATGTGTGAGTTACAGGGCAGCAAGGTGCTCCCCAGGCAAGGAAACGAGAGAGATCCCTAAAATGTGAGCTCAGCTTGGACATAAAAGAGAACTGTACAAGACAACCAGGATCTGAAGTGCAGGAAGGACTAACCTGTGCATCCAGGGAATCCTGTGCAACTAGCACACAAAACAAAAGGGGGAAAATGGAAATTAATAGAATTCTCTACAGGTAGAAAAAAACAATGACATTTGATAGAATAACAAGGTAATTCCACCACTTGATAGGCACCAGTTTGGTGGCACATGGTGGGGAACATTCCTGAAGAACAAGTGGGTGCAAGTCACACATTTTAGATGTGGCTGGGAAAACAAGTAGCTGAATGCTTACCTGATGATTACTGCACATTTTCTAGATATTTGACTCATCATCTTTTCAGTGTGTTGTTTCAAGAAATACATACAAAGGCTTGTGAGATAGTTTGAAATTTGGGGAAAAGGGAAGTCTCTGTAAAGGCAGTCAAACTGGCAGAAGGAAACAGAGCTTTGTGTTACCTCTAGGAGCAGGATGTACATGTCTGCAAGCTGCTCATGAAGGTGGCACCAGCACGGAGTAGCTGAAAACTTGAAAAACAGTTTATCATTCTGACACCTACACACTCTGAGATCATTTATTTCAGGTCAAAGTCTTGCTGAATCTTCGTTCAAAGAATAGACAGTGCACATCTCTGAAAGGTGTGAAAAAACAACTGAATTTAAACCATTTTCATAGTGGCAGCTTCCAAGTGAAGAGCAGGAACATTTATCTGTCAGCCTTGTGTTTGTTTGCAGTTGTGTCCCCTCTATCTCAAAACTGGGGTTTTTCCAGTGTTATCTTTTTAAGGGATACCTTTCAATTTATCCTTCCTGTTACTCAACTGTTATCTACGCTAGTAAATTTATTTTCTTATGGGACGTATTTCAGGTCTTGGAGCCCAGGTATCTGCTCCATAAAGAATCATTTTGCAATATATTTTATACATCACATCAGGCCCCATTTTTAAACTAGCTCTGTTTCTGTTCTCAGCTCTTCTGTGGGATGGGCAGGAATCATTTCCCAACTTTCCCAATACATTTATTCACAGCCACTCTTGGGCCAGCATCATCTGTTATCAGTTGCGGTGTCTCACACCCACCTGCATTTTTTCCTACCCTGACACATATTTAAGTACTCACGTCATCAGGCAGCCTTCACCTGTGGCAGAAGGATGCACTGGGACACAGCACCAGCTCCAGGCTGTCCTGGAGGCAGCACAGCCACATGAACACTGTGCTACTGCCACACTACACTTGAGCAGCTCCCCTTCAGCTAAAATCCAGAAATAATTGGGCTCAGAAAGAAGGAATAAGGCTCAATGGCCATGGGCCCACATCTCTTAATTTCCAGGCAAGCTCGGACAGATTCTAGGTAGTTATGGGAGAGATGACGTCCGTGGTTCCCTCCTCTGGGGACTCAGTTTCCCAGGAGTTTCTCCCAGTGGGTGTAGGAGGCCACCTGTGAGCAGGGCAGCACCCTTCCAGTGGGGTAAGGATGCCTTTGTTGAGACAGGCTTTTCCTCACTAATTTGGAGCCTGCCTGCAGGTCTCCTAATTAATGCTCTGCCTGCCTCCATCGAGCCTAACACAGGGATTGAGTCAAGAAAATATTTATGTACCAAATCCCTGTCTGCTCTAACTCTTCAAGGCACATTCCTGATCTGGAGCCACGCTGTCCCATTACGTGAGGCTGCTCACAGCACAGGGACAGCCCTGGGGAGACCAGCCCTGTGCTGGCGTCACCTCTCCCTTCCTCCACCTCTGCTGCTTTTCCAAAGCATGCACCATGTCCCCAGCAAATAATGAGCAGTAGCAACTTTAACCTAATGTATGGAGGGCATTTCTCCTAGAATATGGAAAGCAACCTAAGCAGGATGCAGTTCATTTTTGTGCATTATCCAGGATGAATATTCCTTGCACAGCAAATGTGCAAGCTCTGCTTGAAGTATACTCTCCTCATAGTGATGTTTCCAGCCAGAATGAACCCTCATTTTCCAGTATCAGCCATTTGACAGAGGGACTGTATTGATTTGCTGATGGATTTAACAAAAGGAATTACCTGGAATGCTTGTGGGCGTTGTGTGAATGAGGACTCTCCCCCCTGTGCTTACAGCCTGAACTTTAGTGGAAATGAACCAGACAACTGATGCCAGTCTACAGTACAGTGCAAGAGGACAAAGTATAAAGACAGATTTTCTTTATTTTTAAATATTAGTAACACTGCACCAAAAAAAAAAAAAAAAAAAAAAAAAAGGAAAAAAGTGGTACTTAAGTGACAGAAAACCGGTACTCAGTCCTTATTTGATTTTAACCATAATTTACAGACCCTAAGAGAGTTTACAAATGGTTATTGTGTGTTATATGGTGCCTGCAGAGGGTTACGTTGGGTAATTGAAGGTAAACCATTCTGATACCAGAGACACCAGAATTTGTTATGTCAAACCATGCTAGAATGCAGACTTGGCTTTTCTGTTTAGCTCCTCTCTTACACCATTATGTGCATTCCTGCATCTTTGAAACGTTAGGGTGAGTGAGTTTCTCCAGGAACTGTGGACTTTCAATATTGCCAGGTTTAAGGCTGTTACATCAACAACATATTGGCAAGAGGAATACAAAAGAAACAAAACAAAACCATGAGCTGCTAACTCCTACCTGGAGGTTAAAAAAAGGAGACAACACACTGACAAGAAACATGCAGGTAAATGCTTAAGGCAACAACAGAGGGGCTCTGTACACACTAAAAGGTTAAGAGAAGCAATGTGTCATGCACATGAGACAAGTATGGGAAGCAAGGAAGTCATCTTGCCAGGAAATATGTATTTCTTTTAAATCTAAGACATCTTTTCAAGCTAAAAAAAAAAAATAGTCCTGCAATAAAACTGATGCAAAATGCTTTCATACATAAAGGTATAAGTTCTTTGCAGAAACAAGTTGATAAAATCTAAAACGGATGCTGAAAAAATGTTTGTTATCTAAAACCTACTCAGGAGAAACAAAGAGCAGTCTTAAAGTAGCACTTGGATCATTTGTCTCTAGGTTCTGAAAATAAACTTTTAAAATAAGGAATGATTTCACTAAATGATTCATCAGGAGTCAACTAAGCCTAAAGAAATCAGTAGGAGTGCTTACAGGAGACCATCATTACACTACTACATTTCTTAAAATCAGAAGACATAACTTCATTATACAATTTAATATGAGGGAACATTTTAATCGGGACAGAACTGCCCAGCCTGGGGGAAAAAAAAAAAAAAACAAAACCAAAAACCCAACCATAAAAGTCACTTATTAATCTTGCATAAATTACCCTATAAGAGCTCATGTCTCAATCCCACTCCCAACAACATGAGTGAACAGGACTCTTCTTTCAACGGGCCTGATTTGATGCCAGTGGCCAAACAAGCAGGCATTTGCCTTTTATATCCTACAAGACAAATAACAAACACTAGACTAGAGTTGCCTTAGTCCCAGGGAAGGAAGAGGTAAGAAATTCTGTAACTCTTTCCAATCTTCAAACATAACACACGTCTAACCATGACCTGCCTCGTCTGAATTCCCCAACCTGAACGGGCAAGAAAGCCACTCTGTGAAACTAAAAGGAATAACATAGTGCAATTTTAGTACAGTTTTAAACATGAGTCACTTCCTTGGTAGCAGTGTGAACAATCAAAAAATATACACAAAAAAGAGGTGTGCTCGAAGGTAACATGAAGTTGTTGTCATTATTTTAAAGGTATTGGCATGGCAGAGAAGTCCATTTTAGTAATTCGCTTTGGTTGACTTCTTCTTCTTCAGTTCCTCTCTCTGCTTCTGCTTCCTCCTCTTGCTGCCTTCTTTGTATCCTGAGGAAACATGGCTTGTAAAACACTTTTCACAGCATTTACAGACTTTTCTCTCTAGCAAAAGCACATGTTCTCTGAATGGTTTAAAGAATATTAAAGAAAAGGTCTGGCTTCCTAATGGGTTGTTTGGGTTTTCTTCAAATTGCAATATCCACTATATCCCCCATTCTACTACATCCCTTACATAGGATAGAAAGAAAATACTACCAATCTTTGAAGTTTTAAAAGATCTGGAGAACTTTCAAAATACTTCAAAGCCATTCAGGAAAAGCTTCAAAATTAGAGCACATGCAAAACCAGAATAATTTTCAAAAAGGAAGCAATAAATAAGACTTATGCAGCAGGAGCAATTTAAGTACTGGCATTTCCTGCTCACGGTAGTCAGAGTTACCACGATATTTGCATTTCCATTTTAAGACTAGGGAATGCCAAGAATCCTGAGTAAATAAGAAGGTGCTCAGTGTTTACCAATATATATTTTATATGCTGGTCATCAGCCTGCTCATGCTTAACTATGCACCACAGGTTATATTCAACTGCAGCCCCAATGGTGCATGAAAGCATTGAGTTCAAGCAACAATTATTTGCTACAGGTTCAGTAGGCACAAGCTTCCAGCCATGTGATCATCATTCCAATGTTTTATTACCCCCACAGAGATGTGTAAAACAGTTCTTGCTCAGCATCACACCTTTTCCTCCAAACTTGCAGTAAAATCCAACTTGCTGGCAGACTTGCACGGGCAGTGAACTGTGTGAACCACCACATCTACCCAGGTGCACTCATAAATCTAAACTGAGGGCCAGTAAACATTTCCCTCAGACAACCATTCTGTGATGTTTTGAGACAGCTGGAGGGATCTTTCAGCTCAGTGGTGCTCTGTCACTGGAAATCAGCACAGTCCAGTGACCAGGGCCAGCACAGAGCAGAGCAGCCCCTGCAATCCAGCTGAGAGGCAGGGCTGGGAGTCAGAGGAATGGCTCTGTGGAAAGGCACAGCTCTGCCTGTATGGAAATCTGTTTTTTTCCTCTGTCCTGTCAGCAGGCAGGAAGAGATGGCCCCAAGGAAGCAGTTTCACCAGTGCACCTGGTTCTCCATCAATTTATCAAGAGCAAAATTAAGATGGGAAAAGGAAGTGGTGGGAGGCCAGGGGGGTACAAAGCCCCACTGTGGCTGCAGTTTGCTCCTCACTAGAGCTCCTCCCAAGCACAGTTAGAGATGTGCCCACAGCAGAGCTGAAGTTCTTCAATTTAAGTTTAAGATTTGGGGAGAACCACGAGGTAAGTCTTTCAGCTAAAACCATTTGAGACATTATCAAAAGCTTAGAGGAAATACACTCACTTGTAGCAACGGGAAACTGTTCTAGGTTATCACCCTAGCTCCTGTGCTGTACCCACAGCATGACTTCATCTTTTGTAATTATCTGAGTCAAGAGGCAGAATATTTATTTAGAAATTCTGCCATGAGCGATCAGCCTGCACGAAGTCAGAGTGGAAACCAGTTTTCTTGTTTAAGGAAGAGAGAAACTGGCAGTGCTTAGCAGAATTGCAGATGACACTGGGTTTTCCCTGCACTCTGTCACCCCCTGAGCTAAACTCCTGTCCCTGTTCACTGTGTGAACATCTCCTCACTAAGAACTCCATCCAGGAAGTTTCCTTCCACGTCAGCCCCTTGGTCACCTGTACATCACCAAAAATAGGATCCTTCTGCATTCAATTCACTGAGCAAGGCACCCATCCCTGAAGGGCTCAAGCATCTCCCTGCTTTCCCACAGAGGTCAAGGGAGGCGGAAGAGATGTGCTGACTCCTGAGAATCAGTCATCTGGGGGTGTTATTCAAAGGATTCCTCCCTTTACTGGAAGGAAAAACTGCATCATATCATCTGATCAGAACTAGCTCATGTAATAACTATGAAACAATAACACAGGTATTTGGGAAAGGATCATTAAACCCTAGCAAGTATTAGTTTCATCATTTTTTTCATTTTTCATTCTCAAAACAGTGTCAGTATTTCTAAAAGGTTTCCACAATCAGCCATGATAGCATTTGATGCTGCTATTTTACATCATAATACTTTTTTTTTTTTTGCAATGGTCCATTTTCTTCAAATGCTTGAGGTTTTGAAAGCAATTCTAGCAACTGTTTCTTAAAAATACTGAGTCAATGTAAATTATGACTTGAAGTGAATGCCACATAATTTATTGTCTTATAAATGAAACAACTCAAATGTTAAAATATTGTGGTATGAAGATATTTAGGCATTTGACAACATGGTCTCCTACCAGCCTCTGGTATGATAAGGCTTAAAAGTGGAAATCTTTCAAGTGTTATCACTGACACACAGAAAGAGATTGCCCAAAGTGGGAGATAACACACAAACACAGAGTATTCCTCAAGAGAAAACTGCCAGGTCTTTTCTGTTTTGAGCCTGCTGTGATAAATAATTTCACTGTCTGCCATTTCCTTTTCTATCCCCACCTAAGAAGAAAGGATAGGTCAAACTTTGCCAGTCTGTTGCTCCAGCGATGCTGTGCTGGGTGATAACAGCCAAAAATCTGATCCAAACAAGGGAAGCAGCTCCTAACATAAATAGGAATTGCACACTAAAGATGTACCCCTTCAGTGTCCATTTCACTCCAATACTTCAACCAGCACTAATTAAAAGTATATTTAGCTGCCTTGGTTACAAGACTAGTCCCAAAGTCATGAGACAACAAAATCTGAATTAGAAAGCAGCAGCCCCATGACTGATCACACTGCAGTGAGCCTGGCCAGTCACCAGCATCCCAAAGTGTCCATAGAAACTTCCCATAGTAAGTGCCAGGTTGAACTGCCTTCAGCCAAACAGTGCTGGCCTTGGACAAGGCTGTTCAGATTTCCACCCTTAGCAGCAATCTTTAGCCACCCAAACTCTGGAAATACTTCACGGGGCAGAGGGAGAACAGGTTGCCAAGAGCTTCCCCAAGCTGTGACGTTTGGAAAATAGATTCACTCAAATGCAGATAGAAATCTCCCTAAGTTGGTATTTCTTGCTTTTGTCAGCTGCCAGGGCAGAGAGGGGTGAAGCAAGAATCCACACCATTTGGAATTACACCTGCTTTACTGCTTGGATAATTCTTGCCTAAAACAAACAGCATCAGCTAACCCACTCCTTCCATGTCATCATCTCCTTTTCTTCTTCAGGAAGAGCCACAAGGAGCACATTCAGGAGCTATTCCAGCTTTCATGAAGCTGCTGAAGGCTGAAAACAACTTCCAGAAACGCTTAGGTGCAACTCCTTCAACCATCACTCAGCAAGGACCCAAACAAACTGGAAAACTTTTCTGCTGTGTCCCAGATTGACTTTCCTTCTGGCTTTCTAATTCCCTGCCATCTGCACCTCCCAAAGTCACGAGTTTGTTCGGTCACTGACTGTGAAACTCATCACATTCTTGGGTGGCAGCTGCAAGGGAGGCGCGCACGTCGGGCGGCCGATCCCAAGGCACAAGTGTCCCAGGGAAGACACTCCTACCCAGTGCATTTCTGGCATCCTGCTTTTTCCTGCCCAGCCTGACATCTGCCTGCCCTACCAGGATGCAGAGTTGCCACGGGTCTGCTCCACCTTCCTTCTGCCAGCACGGAGCAGCGTAGGAGTCAGCAGAAGGAAACAAGGTGTTCAGTCACAACTGACAATGAACACAGCATTGCTGCTGCTTGACCCACATCAGCGAGCAAGAAAGGCCACGGCACAATTTTTATAGAAGATCTGCCAAGGTGAAGACTTTGGAGGAGCCTCCTTCCACTTTCAGAGTGAAACATTGAGGCTGGGTGTGGGGGGGATTCATATTTTCTGCTCAAATCTCAGAGAAAATGTTCTCCAAGATCTACCAACTTTTTGCTAAGATTGTGGCCTTCCTTCAAAGCATGGAAGCAGCCATGGCCCCAACACCCACAGAGCTTTAAAATGGCAGTGAGGCACTTTCAAGAAGCTCAACTTTTTTTTTTTGAGGTTCTGTAGTTCTTTTTCTAATTTTCTGGTCTTAGAAATATCTCTCTACTCAAAACAATAAACTGCTGTTTCAAAGGCAGCTGGCTTACTTCTGAGTTGCAGCCACCCTCTGTTATTTTAGACTGACCACACTCACATATGCCATTGTAAAAATTCACCCCAGATCACAGCTTGAGTATAATTTCATGTGTGACTCAATTTGCAATTACAACTTTACACTTTCACATCCCCTCCCCTCAGCCTGAGCCACTGCCCAGCACACAGCACAACCTGACCTACTAATTCCCTCTCCTCATCCATGGCTCCTGCCTGTGGAGGATGATGGAGCATCGTGGAGAGGGAGCCTTTAGTCAAGACCTGGGGTGACAAAACATCCCACCCTGTCTAGGTATGCTGTTCCACTATTCAATTATCCACACTGTTAAATCCAAGGGGTGAGTTCTCCAGTTTCACTGGCCAAACTGGTGATGTAATCCCAACTTTGATGTTTTAGGGGACTGAGAAGCTTTAGCAACTTGCAGGGCCCTTCCTTCCTGGTTGCTCACCATGTCATTTTCTTTACCAATTCTGCCTAGAATTGCCACAAGAACAAACCAAGCCAGATATCACCTGTTTGCCTCCTGTAATTAGGGTAACACAAGCACTGAATAGATTTCCAAGGTTTTACTCCCAAATGGCAAGCAAAAGCTTGCAAGGCTGTACAGCCATGGAAGCCCTTCCACACATCCCAGCTGTCTTTGATGGGTAAGAAGATGATTTTGTAGCAGCAGCCAAAACACTATGAGTGAAGGCAGCTCTGGGCTAAGCCTGGGGGCAACCAGCCAGTCTCCAAACCCACCAGCCAGCCTTCCCAGCCCTGCCCCACACAGGCACAGCTGTTACCCCATCCCACTTGCACAGTTACAGCCAGGGGATGTGGAGCAAAGGGAGGGCAAGCACCATCTCTGCACCTCCAGCATTCCTCATGTATTAGACTTCCACAAAAATCAGTGGCTTTGCTTTCCTTTCTCTTTCCATTACATGCCCAAAACAGAGTTTGTGATGGAATTATAAAGTAATTAGTTTGGATAACAAAGCACATCACTGTTACTAGTTAGTAAAGTGTAATTCAGGAGACTGCACGTTGGTAAAAAGAACAGAGACTGAATTAAAGATGAAATGAACTACAAACAGCTCAACTTTCCAGCAGAGGAAACCATGCCAGGAGAGGATCAAGATTAGTTAAGCTAGTTCTTTTAGAGTGGTTTCCTCTTCACAGATGCCAGCAGATGAAAATGCAGGAAAAATGCATTATTAATGTTGTAAGTTGTAGGTTAAGCAAGTTATTTCTTTGAAAAGGAAGAGCAAACCTTGCAATATTATCTTCCAAATAATGAAATTTGTATAATTTTTTTTTTTTTTTTTTTACTATTTTAACAATTAAACATTTCAATCATTCTTGCTGGATAAAGGTCAAAACTCTCAAATCCAAAGCAGTAGTTTTTAAGGGGTAGTTACCACTACCTCTGGCATTAACAGCTGCCATCCCCAGGTCTCTGCTGGCATTAGCACCACTTTGACACAGCTCAGATCCCCCAGTCAGCTGGGTATCACACTATCAGGGAGCACATCACTTGAGTTTCTGAATTCTTATTTCAAAAATTCCTTTTTGGAGCTACAGAACTGTTTGATATATGCAGCGACTTCAGAGCACAAGAGGTGAAGTTTTATTCTAAAAGGCCATTATGAAACCAAGAACAGTTTCCAGAGCAATTTCTACTAAAACACAAAGTGTCCATGGTAGATGGAGAATTAAATTAAACTCTCATTTTTTTTGTTAAATACCCACTGTGATAACTGGCAATCCTGACTAAGGAGAGGATTCATCTCACCTCTGGATATTGCCAGTCTAAAGGAGTTGGTCAGCCTTTCCTCTTGGGCACTAGAGAGATGCCACTTCCAGAGAGATTCCCACCACATAGTCAAGATGAAACCTGTCCCTGTCTCCTTCATTTAAATTTCCTACAGACTTACAAATCAAAATTCAAACAGTCCCATTCCTACAGCTGGGAAAAGAAAACTTCAGTGCAGGTGAATCATCAATGACTGAGGGTTTACTTGAGATGCTCCAACTGGGACAACATCTGAAACTGCTGCGTGGTCCCGCTGTCAGGGGCCCCACGCTGGTGGTGGCAACAACATCTGATTCAAGGTGGAACTGCACCTGGTTTGAGGCCATTGAACTCAGCTGTTTCCCAGTGAACTGAGAGGGCTTTGGAGCAAGGCAGAAATGATGCCATTCTCTCCCGACGCCGGCCCGTGGAAGCACGGCAGTGATCGATGAGAAGCCAAGCGAGTCAAGTGGTCTCTGAAATTACAGAGCTGTGCTGGTGAAGCTGCTGGCTGGGCAAGGCACTCAGCAGAGGTGAACACCCATGAAGGGGAATGGCATTACTGGCCAGGGCTCGTGCACACACTCCCCAGGGAGGGATTAAGACACTCACGTAAGTTTTTATGACTGACTCGACCAGTCCTTCAGCAGCCCTGTCCATTAGAGGAACAGCAGGCAAAATATTTAAAGCAACAGTAAAATCTTAGTCTTACTGAATCAAGTTTTCACCCTGAGTCTTTTTTGGCAACTCACAATCTACTGGTAGAACAGAGCATTTTGTGATTGCACTAATACTTCTGGAAATTAATTGCAAACTTGTGCGTCTTGGAGCATAAATAAATTCACAGCAAAAAGTCCTAAGCAATCTTAAAAATTGCTCCAAAAATTGCACGGTGCATGTCAAACTCAGCTTCTCCTTGGAATCCATTGCAAAATATTGTGATTGCAGAGACCCTTCTGTGTCCAAAGGCAGAGCCAAGGTTTTGTTTTGCCAGCCACAGACACAGGAGACCAAACCTGTAGCCCTTGCTTGGGAGGCTTCAGGACATCAGCCCAGAGGTTACAGTCAGGCCTCTGTAACTTTTTTCTTTTTTCTTTTTTTTTTTAAAGGAAATATTCAACTTGGTCATCTTTAAAAATACAAACAGCAACTTATCAGGAAGACATTAATCTAAATTATTCTATTTTTTTCAATCTGTCATCCATCATAATATTTTTAGGTCTTCCATACAAAAGACATTGTCAGGTTTAAGGGCTCATAAACACATTGGAAGTTGGTATAGCACTGTGAGTACAGGAGCACCTGTTTTGGGATACAGTGCATATTTTTCATGTGCTGTGTTTACCCTGAGAAGCCTCATAGGCTCACATTTCCCAGCACTTCACCTGATTTCATACTACTGAGAAGGGTCCTTGCTTTGGGCATCCAAGTAGAAAGGCATCTTTCATGTATCAGAAAAACCTGTCCTCACAGTCCTGGATGATCTCTACCACAGGTTCCAATTAAATCAAGTAGTTAAGAGGACTTCATTGTCCAAGATAGCCTCTGGACTACATTGCCACAAAATTACAGACTGGAAATATATCAAAGGACTAATTACTTCCAAAAATAACCCGGACAATTGCCACGTTGCCACGTTTGCCTGAACACTCTCAGCCTCCTCTATTAGGATTTAGTTGCCTAAAACTGTAGCTTCTAGAAATAGTATCAACTTGCTGAACTTCTCCTTGGACAAGGAAGCCAAGCACAATTTAAGTAAATGACTGTGCAAAGTATTGTGATGAGTTAACATCTAAAATTCCTTCACTTTTAACAGCAAAGAGCACAGGCACTTCAGCAGCACAACAGTATTTGCCCTGGATCCTTAAATATCCCAGGGCGTTAGTGAATCTAGGCTAAATGGAAGATCAGAGCTAAAGCAGGATGAAGGCAGACAAGCTGCTGTTTATTATCTACCAGGGCACTAACATTAAGTCAACACACAGCACCAACTTCTTGCATGGCTTTTTGAGTTTGGCTTTTGACTATGTGATGGGTCCTTCTCTGCACGTTTCTCACCAACATGCTTGTGCACACCTGATAAATAAATAGGGGCCTCGAAGCTGCTCATAACCCGGCTTCTGTCTTGTTCTTCCACCTCATCACTACTGTAATGGCAGGCAAAGCGGGGCGAGTTGCCGGACTTGTGAGGCTTCAGCAGGCGGTTGGTGGGCTGGGAGGGCAGCGCGTGTTGTCCTCTCCGTCTGCACTCCTCGGCAAAGGCTTCTTCATCTGCCTCCCCTGCAAAAAGCAACAAACGCAAGAAAGGTGAGCTGCACCCAGAATGCCTGAATTTAGCCTGGGAAAAAGGCCCTCAGAAACGGGCTGGGTGTTAGGGGTCACAAAGCTCGTGTCTTGGCCGTGGTTGGTCACGGACAATGCTGTGTGTCTGCAGGCTGGGGAGGGTTTGGAGCACAAAGCTCCATCAGTGGCCGGTCACTGCACCCAAAAAAGTCCAGGAGGCATGATGCCTTGGGAGCCACTTTTCCCTTTTTTTTTCCCAAAAGGCAGGGTGAGGGAGCTGAGCACATGGCCCTGGACAGGATTTCTGTCCTGTGCAGAGCATGTCATCCCATTCCACCTCACCTGGACTTTCCTGCTCAAGGAAAAGGTAAAAGAAAAGGAGAGATAAATACCCAAGCTGGCTACAGGGGTGGTGGGACAAGAATTGAGCCAGCATGGGTTCAGAGGGGCCAGATGTTGGACATCACAACTGGGAAGGTGGTGGAGATGTGTGATGGAACACATGAAGACAGGTGATCATGTTGAAGCTGTGAGAGGTATACACAGCCCAGGGGCAAGGCAGGCACACACAGCACAGACCAATGCACACAATGGAAATAAACCCCAATGTTTGCAAAAACTGGTATGAAAGATGAGATACTCCCATCATACTCATGCTGTGTTGCAGATACTTTCCTTTGCTGCAGAAACTGTAACAGTACCACTGCTGCAAAGCAGAGAAATCAACTACCACAACACACACACAAAACTCAGCAAAAACACACACTGGAAAACAAACAGATCCCAAAAAGTCAACAAAAGATGTTCAACAGGGAAAATAAAGGGAGCAAGGGGGAAAAGACTTGGAACAAAGGTGTATACCATATTCATCTCTTAAAGGCTTTTTAAAGTTTCATTAGTTCAATTACTTAAGTACTTCTAATAGAGCTGATGAAATATGGCATCATTTTATTTTCATCAAAAGTGGTGTGTCATATTCTGGAAGTTTTTCCTGGGATGTGCCCGGCATCAGCTGCTCAGGGAGGGGTGTGTGCTCCCAGCTAATGCGTGTGCTCTTAGTTCATGGCTGGAAAATGCTTTGAAGATGAAAAGGGCACCACGTACGCAAGACGGGACAGAGCAGGAACCCCCACTTCGTGTGTGCCCCACACCACCACTTCCAAACACAACGGGCTGCATTGTCTTTACCTTGTAATTGTACACGGGGAGATGCTTCTGAGGGCATGAGGAAAAGGAGGCAAGGTGTGTTTAAAAGTCATTTCACAGCGCAGTGAGGCACCCGAGGCCCTGCAGCAGAGGAGGACTCCTGAGCACACGAGGGCTGTGCTTGGGTGTTAGCAGAGGACGCTCCTTCCCAGGTGTTTAAATGCCCATCCCCACCTCAACGCTCCTGCTTTTATACCCCAGAGTCCCCCACAGTTCCAAAGGCACAAGCAAACACCACAGAAACACGAGTCATGACGAGACAAGGATTTCTGCGTTTAGTCTCTGGCTGCCTGCATGACACCAGTGTAAAACCCTGGGTGTGTGGCTCTCCTTGCAGTAGGAGAGGACTGCCAGGATGGCACAGGACTTCAGCTACGAGAGGCAGGGGCCAAGGAAAAGCTCAGGGAAGGCCAGATGCAGAATTGCCATCATTACTCATAAGAGGCTACAGGATTTTACACACTATACAAACAGCACTGAAGCAGATATCAGGCTGATGATACCAGGTCTGTGAAGGTAAGCCTATAAAATGCCAAGACTAAGAAAAGAAAGCACATGGAACCTGTTTACATCAGCTGCACATACAAAAACCAGTCAAGAGAGTTCACTTCCTAACAAATTATGGTGCACCAGAAGTAGGAGATCCCTCCTCTCCCATGGAAACACAAAGTGAATGGATTTCTTTTTCATGTGCAAAGTCTTGCTTAATGTATGTTTAAAATTTATATTTTCAAATAGATGCAGGAATGGGAAACATGCTGAGGCCATCCTTGAGGCTCTGGGTGTGTTTGTGCATCACAGAGATGTCCCAACAGACACACTCACACAGCTCCTCAGTGCTGGGCTCAGGGAACCAGCTCACCTTTGCAATCACAGAACACTTCAGCTGGAAGGAGCCTTTAAAGCTCATCTGGTCCAACCCTCCTATAATAAACAGGGACATCTTCCACTAGATCAGGGTGTCTCAGGGCCCCTGAATGTTTCCAGGGATGAGACACCTACCAACTCCCTGAACAACCTGTGCCAGCGTTTCACAACCCTCACTGGTAACATTTCATCGCTGTATCTAAGTCAACCCTCCTTCAGTTTAAAACCACTATCCCTTGTCCTGTCACTAAAGGCCCTACTAAAAGGTCTGTCTCCATCTTTGTTATTAGCTCTCTTAAAGAATTTGAAAGGATTAAATCCATCTTGATCACCTAACAGAGTCCTTCAGTCTTCCACATCCCCAAAGCAAAGGCAAATTTTAGTTCAACAAGCAGATCCCAAAAAATTGCCCAAACCTTCCCCCCTTATGAGCTGTGGGAGACCAGGATGGCACCAGAAATTAGTTAAATGTAACATCACATCAGCTGTGATTTAAATACTGAATCAACTGCAGTGCTATGCATGGCATGAGCTGTCAGATCTTCCTCTGATCACCCACCTTTAGAACACCTGGCACAGCAAAACTAAAGTGTGATTTACATCAACTATTCTCTCCTGTTCTACATACTTGAAACATTCGAGCCAGACTGTACCACTACAAATAGAAAACTTGAATAGAATTTACTCTGGGAGAAGTCAGCCACAAAGGACATCGCCACCAAAAAGTGCTTAAATTCTGCTAGAGCTTTGTCAGCAGTGCTCTTTGTCCTAGAAATGTCTTTTAGGAAGACAGCAGGTATTGGGGACGGGGACTGGATGTGGAATACCTGAGTTCTGAGCAGGAATATCCACCCAAGGAGCACCTTCCAGGAGTGCTCAGGCTTTAAACATCCCTCAGTTCCCCCAACACCTCCTTCTTGCCATCCCCTGCACCTCCACACCCACGTGAGAGCCTGGGCAGCCGCGCCGTGACCCCAGGCAGGGACTGAGCCAGGTTTAAAATAACCCTTTTTGCCAGCTTATTTTTAACCCAGCTCAGGGCCTGCAGCCAGCTCACCGTGCAGCCGCCCCAGCTGGGGCAGGGAAGGGGGAATTGTTGAGGACAGCTGGAAGCGGCATCCAGGTTATGGTGTTAAGCAAAAGATCTTATTCTACTTATGCAAATAATAATTAAAAACCTAGAAGTTATTTCACTTGCAAAACCAGTTTGGAGAAGTTACATTTCTAAGGGTTAGTTCTGAAAATTACTGATTTGGTATTACCAGTAACCTTTAAAAACAATAATTAAGATTTGGTTTTGTGCTGCAGCAGGTTCTCTGAAATGAACAACAGCTTCCAGGGAAGAAAAAACCGAACAGGAGTTGTAGCATCCTAAAAAGCTGTGTTAGGGCTAAAAGCTAGCAAGAAGGGCTGGAAAATAACTTCTCATAGCAAAGAGGTGCTGCCTGGCAGTGGAAAACAGGGCTCCTTGGAGCTGTAGCAAACCAGCAGAGGGCAATCTTGGCTGTGGCCAGGTGTCCTGGCGGAACAGCCGCTGCCAGCCCGCACTTGGGCGGTCACACCGAGATTTTACACGGCTCTCGCAAACCTGGACCAGGTGGGGGCTTAGGGGAGCCACCAGCTACACCAAAGGGTCTGTGCGTGATCCTGGAAATTTGCCTTAATCTGGTAACATATCTCAATAGAGCAGTGTCCCACGGTGATTTTATGATGCTTGTATGCCCAATTGTCTGGTCTGTTTATGCTGGATATTACATTCTGAGGATAACACACAGGAATAAAAACACCGGCAGAGACGTGCAGCTGAGCTGGGACAGCTGAGTCTCGGAGTGCTTCACACCAAAGCAGTCCTGCACGGGCTACCATTATTATTTAGTGTTACATTTAAGTGATATCCATGTATGTCCAGGAATTGAACTGAAATCCTAGCAGGAATCAGCAGTAATTAATGGCAGGACAGTAATGACAGAACTATGCCAAACCAGGGTAAACATCCTGAGGAGATGGAGCTGCTGATTTGCATTTACCAGCTCACTTCCCCCACACGGCAGCCCTGCTGCTGCCTGCTGTGCTTACACACCTCACCAAAGAAATACCCCTAGAACCGGGGTTTTCCCCTCTATTACGAAACAAAAAGCAGGTGCACCAGTTTGCTCAGTCCAAAGGAACACTTCCCTGAGGCCACAAACACGGGAGAGCCCCTGGTCCCGTAGGCAGCATCAGAGATGCCCCTGGTGAGGGACACCCGGCTGTGTCTAAGGACACCACAGCTCTGAGCTGTGGAGGCTTCAAAGGTGGCTTGCAGGAAGCTTCCTCCATTCAAATCTTCTTTGAAGGATGGCTCCCGAAGTGTCTTTCTAATACTTCAGACTCTGAAGTTAAGGGGCAGTGTAAACTCAGAGCAAGGCATCATATTGCTGCTTCAGCCAGTCTGAGGTTCCCCTGAGCTGGTCCTGATGCATGCTGGCATCACAAAGAGTGCAGAAAGCTGGTGGGGGGGAGCTTTTCTTGAATTCTTCCCCCACTCCTGTTACAAGGGTTTGGAATTTACCCCGTGCTTGCCGAGAACCTGGAGTTTCTGATGACTCAACTACATCCGCTGCTGCCACGGAGAGCTGAACTGCAATGGAAGGAGCAATCAAAAGTGAAAGAAAAAGATCCCCATTTAAACACATTTATCTGAAGTTGATTGCACCGTGATCTTTGTAACCTGTTGATAAGATTTTTCTACCAATATACTTTTCCATTGTTACAGCAGCTCTGGTATTAATATTTACCTTGACAGAACCTACCAGCGTTCTTCCTAGACTGAAGTCCACCAGTTGCTGGGAAATCTTAGGCTTTACAGGAACCAGTTTAATCTGAGAACTCATCTAACAGATCTGTCTACAGGCCTGCGTTACTCTGGGCTGAAAAAATCCTGG